TTGGCATTAGATGGGATGCACCTGTCCCAGAGCGGGGAAAGGATCTTGGGGCAGGAGTTAGCTGGGTTCATTGAGAGAGCTTTAAACTAGATTTGAAGGGGGAAGGGCACAAAACTGGAAGTCCTGGATATAAGCCCCAGGGTAGATTACCACAGTTTGTGGGATGTTGTGCCAGCAATAACCCTCACCCTGCTATTCCAGTGGAGGCAAGGGATGGAGACCGACAGCACAACAAAGATGCAAGGGATATTGATGGATCAAAACTGTGGTAATACCTGTGAAATCTCAGGCCGGACTTAGGACCTCTAAATCCAAAAAGGTGCTGGGGACATCGGCCCATCTGAAGTGCATGTATACCAATGCACACAGCATGTGTCACAAACAGAAGGAGCTTGAAGCCATGATGAAACAGGAAAATTATGATGTAGTGGCCATTACAGAAACATGGTGGGATGTCTCCCATGACTGAAGTGCACCAACTGATGGCTACAAGCTCTTTAGGAGGGACAGACAAGGCAGGAGAGGTGGTGGTGTGACACTGTATGTTAGGAACTGTTATGATTGCTTTGAGCACAGGTGCAGTGAAGACAGGGTGGAGTGTCTTTGTGTTAGAATCAGGGGAAGGCCAACAGGGCAGATGTTGCAGTAGGAGTCTACTATAGGCCACCCAACCAGGACAGAGAGGTGGATGAAATATTCTATGATCACTTAGGAGAAATCTCACAATCGCTTGCCCTTGTTCTTGTGGGGGACTTTAATTTCCCAGACATCTGCTGGAAATACAACACAGCAGAGCAGGACCAGTCCTGGAGATTCCTGGAATGTGTGGGAGATGATAACTTCCTGACGCAACTGGTGAGTGAACCAACGAGAGAAGGTGCCCTGCTGGATCTCCTCTTTGTGAACAGGGAAGGACCTGTGGAGGATGTGGCGGATGGAGGCTGACTAGGGCACAGCGGTCATGAAATCGTCAGTCAGACATAAAATTTTCAGCAGCATGAGGCATACCAGACAGAGAAACCACACAAATGTCCCAAAGGTAACAAGGGCTTCAGGTGGTGCTTTGATTTAATTAAACACCAGAGAACCCCCACAGGTGAGAAGCTCTTCACATGCAGTGAGTGTAGGGAAAACTTCAGGGTGAGCTCCCACTTTATTTCCCATAGAAAAATGCACACAGGAGAAAGGCCCTACCCTTGTCTCAAATGTAGGAAAAGCTTCAGACGAAACTCTCACCTTAGAAATCACCAGAGAGCCCACACTGGTGAAAGGCCCTTCAAATGCATGTACTGTGGAAAAGGCTTCAGTGATTTCTCAGCGCTCGCCCAGCACGAGCAAACCCACACAGGCGAGGAGCCCACAGCCCGCTGTGGGAAGTGTATCAAAGTGTTCACACCAACAGACACCAGCTAGTCCACACAGGAGAAAAACCCTTTATGTGTGCTGAGTATGGGAAGTGCTTCCAAAACAAGACACACCTCAAGTGACACTGTAAACTTCATCTGAAATAGACAGCAGGACAGTATTTGTTTTGGATCTACGAGCATCGGTGCCTTGCCTTTAAAAAAAAAAGAATCAATTATAAATTCTATGGTGTGATTGAAAGAAGGAAGAAACCACGAAGGGGAGGAGAGGGTCTCTGTCACAGAATGAGTAGGTTGTTGATGAGGTGGGAAGGGGTGGCAGGGTAGGGACAGAAGTGAGAATAAGCATCCCGTCAGCAGGAACAGCTTGTCATGGAGACTGAAGGCAGGGACGTGGTAGCAAGAAATAGGGAGGAAGTTCAGCAAAGGACGGATTTGGTTCTTGGAAATCTGATTGCTGGCAGCGTGGCCCTTGGAGAGATTAAAAGATCTCACTGTCTTATTGAGAAGGCAAAAATGGCAAAGTAGGCTCTGACAATGGAAGCCCACATTTGGGAAATGAGTCACTTACTGAACTATGGAAGAAAAATTGTCCTTTATTCTCTCTGGCAGTATCTGTAGGTATTTTAGGAGCTCTGTTAAACCTGGGCAAAGATGTCCCAGTTTTCTGGTATGGGTTGTAATATTCCAGCTCTTTGATGTGTTAAGTGCCTTCCCCTATTAAATAGTAGCTCTGCTTCTGTGCTCTCCCTTTCCTACTCTATTTCCATGTGCCTGGATTATCCTTTCTACTCCTACTTCAGTGACAGGGCAGCCATGGCTGCACCCATCATTTTGGTCTCACTGGACATTGGAGATGAAATATCCCTAGCCTAGAAAAATAATGGGTGTTACTGTGTTAAACACCTTATTTTTGTTTTTCTAAGCAGGGTTTGATAACCACCTTCAGCAGTATTTTGTCTTATGCATCCTGAGAGCCTTATTCAATCCAGGAAGCAACTGAGAGAACCATTGTATATATAAATATATGGAGCTGATCTGAGCTTTACTAGCAGCACTCAGAGGGATGTGAATTTTACATGCTCAGAGTCTTTCGGAGGCTTATGGCCAGCTCAGAGACTTCTGCCTAGGAACAGAGTGAAAGCAGGCAGCTGGAAGGGAGTGGAATATTGGATGATGGTGACTGCAGGGCCACAGCCTGCAAATGGAGGGGCCCAGAGGGTTAATAGAAATGGAAACAGAAATGGAGGGAACCAGCGGGGAGCAGAGTATGTACACAGGGGAATGGGAAGGAACCCATCTGGTGAGGAAAAAGCCACAATGCAGGAGACTGGAGGGGAAAAGAACATGAATGGTGAGGCTCAAGGGGAGAAGGCATGAACAGAGAGGCTGTAGCTAAACAGATATTCAGCAGAGATGCCTAGATAAAACGAGAACATAAAGGGAGGAGAAAAGCACAAATGAAGGGAGCAGGAGAGGAAGAGAGCTCCCATCAGAAGGTTCTGGCAGGGATGAGAATAAGAATAGCAGGGAGTGAATGGAAACAGAAGATAAATCATCCTTTAGTGATGGGAGGCTAATAGAGCATGAGATTGGAGGAGAAAAACGCATGAGAGAGGAATAGGGTGTGCATAAAGGTGTACAAATGTAAATAAGAGTGTGTGTACAGGGTAGGGAAGAGGAACAGTGTCCACGAAAGGGAATGGGGGGGGGGGGAGAAAACATGGAGAAATGAAGTGTAATATCTCAGCTTCAGGGAGAGGTGAGGCCTGAAAGGGCCTAAAGCAGCAGCATCCAAAGTGGTTGTCCCTCTTCCCTCTCTACCAAAGCCTCTCCTGGAAGGCACCCTGACTGAGAGACAGTGAGTATCCCTTCAGGATGTTTGGTAATGTCTCCATGGCAGGAAAGGTGAATCATGACACGTCTGAACAAGGGCGAGAGGGGAATCAAGGAGTCTCCTCATAGGCAGCCGGGAACCCAAGCCTATACCCCAGGTCTCATGGTAGCACCACATCGAGACTACGACTTGGCAGCGATGGAAAACGGCATTGTAGGCGGCAGGGGAGTTGCAGAAGTACTACAACTCTCTCAAGAGCACAAAGCGGATTTTAGAGACTCTTCTTTCAGGAAGTTCCCTCTTCCCCAAAGACCTGGGCCTATCTCCCTGCAAATCCAAAGAAGTTCACAAACAGTGAGAATGCAAATAAGCCGGCTTCTCTCTCCCTGTGCATTTCTAATGCTGCAACACCGTAAGCCTCTCAGGAATCAGTCTTCAGAGAGAGCCTCACAAGCAATCCTGTGCTGTCATTTGTCTTGGTTTCAGATCAGTCCTCAGACAAGAGCCTGTAAGGACCTGGTCCCCTAACCTTTCCCATGATGATCTCTGTTCCTACTTTTGCCTGATCCTGGTTAGTGAGTCAGTGTCTCCAAGGCATACAAAAGCCCTCAGCAGGCCAAGATTAAAGGCATTGGGTCCCCAAGCTGTTTTTTTCCTCACACTCATTTTGCACCTCCTTCCACCTTGGAGGCAGACCCAGGCCCACTCCCTTTACTGTGTATCATGTCTCTAACCAGGAGAGAAGAGGCCAGTTTTGCAGATCCTCACTACCTAACCTTCCACACAAGCTCACTAGCTGCAAACCCTCAGTTCTCTGCAGTCAGGCAAATGGGACACCTGAGCTTCTGAGGTCTCAGCCATCCCCTGCTCTGCCTGCCCTCTAGACATCTAGCTTTTGCTCTCTCTCTCTCTCTCTTTAGCTTTTGGGGATTCATCACACCGAGATAACCCTCTCCATGGTCTCTGCCTCCCTCCTGTCCACTGTTCAAAGAGTGAGGACCTCCTAGACATCTATGTTCCTGAATGCTCAAAAGGGCAGTAGGGTGTAGGGTTAGGGCAGAGGTGCAAGACCCTGGAAGTTTGAGTTGGAGGGGGATGGGGGATGAAGGGACTCAGAGAGAAACTGAGCAGGGGGACACCTGGCTACTCAAAGAAGGAAGCTGGGCCTTGGGGTTACAGCAAAACCCACTCTTCTGTGTTCCTGAGCTGTGTTCCTGTGTTCCTGTTTCCCTCCATCCCTGAGCAGGTTTTTGGACAGCCAGACATGAGGTTGCCTGGGATGGCTGCAAGCTGCAGAGCCCACCTTTCTCTACTTGTGAGGTGGTGACAAATGCATGAACTGAAAGAACTGGCAGGGAACAGAGCACAGCTGTAGGAGCATGAATGGAGGAGTCTAGAGAGGAACATAGTGAAAACAGAGGGGTACACAAGGGGCAGATGTGAAAACACAGATACTGGAAGGGCAGCGGAGCATGCACTGAGGGGACCGAAGGGGAACAGAGGGCAAAGGAACAGGATGGTAGGGGACCAAGAGCTCAACAGGAGCTGAAGCTAAATCTGGAGATGAAGAGAGCATGTATGGAGAGGTCTGGAGGTGCAATTATTAGCGTAAAGCCATTATTAATAGTACTGGTAGGTAAGATGTGACCCCTGTCTGCAAGTTGCACCTGGAGGCCTTACTGTCCTTCACGGGCAAATCATTCTCAGCAAGGACTTTTCTGCAGTTCAGAGTCCCGTCAGGCACTGAACAGACTTTTAGCAAGAATTTTTAGGGATTATGAGTGAAATCAAATTACTTTAAACTGGTCTGTATTTAGACACTGAGGTTTACATGTCTGAAGCTGGCACACCAACAAGGCAGAAGCACACTCTTTCTCACACCTGTGTGCCCACTGCAGCTGGCAGCAGCTGGATGAGGGGTGCCTAACTGCTGCCATTGGTAATGAGTGGACGACTAATGTGGGATTGATTTGACTTCATTTTGGTCAGTTTTGAGTCCTGCGTTTAAGCAAAGCTGGAAGATCAAACATACAATTGGGCTAATCACAAAGCTAAGCAGCAGGGGCTGATCCTTGCAGAAACTGCCTGTGAACAGGAGACCGTCTTAAACCATATTTTATTGGCTCCCTTTCTGGACAGAGCAATCACCCAGATTATAAAATATTGTTGAAAAGCAAGGTTGGTCAAATTATGTCCAGACCTCAGCAACTACTAAAAGCATGTAGAGAGAGCTCCCCAAATTACTCTCCATATGTCTGTGATGCACACAAGATTCCGTGCCTCAGGTAGTTCCATGCTGGTCCTTTGCTTGCTGTTAGCAGCTTGCTTCATTCAACATGCTGTACAATTCACAGGAAAACGCAAGAATCTGGCTCGTACCTAAGTTCACTTGAGTGGGCAGCTGTGACAATGAAAGGTGCTTCAGTCACAGGTTTCTCACCCCAGTGGTGGAGCAAAGACAGGAGAACGGAGTGTGTGCCTGTGCTGCTGTGCCTGTGCTTGTGTGTGGTTCTGCAGCTTCTGCTGAAACACTGGAGCAGCTGAGCCATAAACACACGGGGCTATTCTGTTGACTTTGCTCCCAGGCAAAGGGATGGGACATGACCTTTCTAAATGGCTGCCATAAGATCAATTGGACCAAATCATGGCCTCTCTGGGGAATTAATTTATTTATTAAAACCATCTTATTTTTTTAACATGATGTTGAGGCATGAGAGTCTCCTAGTAGTGGTGATGCAGCTAGTTAGCAGTCTTCACTCTGATGTGCTGCTTGTCTGCCATGAGCAAACTCGAATGGGTTAAATAATGCCTTTTATATGTTTTTAAACTTCAGTGTGCACATCGGTTTGCTTCGTACAGATTCTATCCAGGAGGCTGCAATTCCAAGTTTTGTTTTCAAGTCCCTCATTCTCTAACGTTCTGCAAACCTCCTCACTCTCCATCAGTCTCTAGAGGTGTTGTCAGCATACAGAGTAGCCTAAGATGGGTCTCCTTCAGCATGGGATAGATCTGTGTGCTCACTAAAAGAGGAACACTGATGGAGGTGTTGAGTACCACTTCCTCAGTGGAGAAGGGTGGAGATGTTGACATGGTTATCTGTGAAGAGATGTCATTCAAATAACATTCACAGTACTAGTTTGCTGAATGTTTCAGCAAAGCCTTCGCTGATTTCTATGTCCCCAGAATATGACAAAGTTCTGATGGCTGGTATTCCACTGCTTCAGATCTGACATACTTAACCTAAGATGTTACTAAAGAAAATGGTAATATTTGCACTAAGGCTATCTAAGTCAACACAGACTTTTAAGCTGCCAGTATCTCTGGAAATGTGATCTATTTACATTAGTGCTGAGTCAGGTAAAATATTTCTGTTCATACCATCCTGAACAGAACAGAGAAAAATCCCATCTTTTAGACCTGTTTTCAGCAAGTGAGCTGTATGTTTAAGAAGCAAACACTGGATCACATCATTTGTTCAAGCAAGTTCTACATTTTTTAGCCTGAAAGTTATGTATTCTGCAGAAACTCATATGGCCATCAGAAAAGCATAGAGACAGCATATATACATCTATCAGATAAAATTGGCCTTTGCTGCCAATTGAAACTTGGAAACAGTATGATTTTTTTTTTAGCACTGTTTATTTTTCCTCAGTGTTCACAAATGTCTTGGCTCTGCAGTGGAAATCCTTTATTGACCAAGGCTGTCCTGTAATATCTTTCTTCTTTTCATCTTGTTGAAGCTGTTGTTCTGCTGGGCAGCCATCAGATTTATTGTAAAATTGGCAACCAGGAAAGTGAGAATGGATGAGAAAGCCTTCACCTGACTAAATCTCACCCTTCTCTCCCACACACTGTCCTAACTAAAACTATGTCGCCATTAAACTGTACTTTTAGCCTCACAGTGCTCACAGTGCCCAAATTTGCTCTCAACTTTGTCAGGTGAATAGCACATGAAACTGGACACTGCTCTTGGAAAAGTGACCCAGTTTTGTAACAGCTTTTACAATCAGGTGGCTTCTAACCTCTGCATGTTTGGTAAGGCTGGCAAGAGATGAGTGAGTAGGGTGTCGCTGTTTGAAAAGTGTAATCGTAGCTCTAGGACAAATTGTACTTTACAAAAGCCTTAAAGGTGGTGTGTAGTGAATAGAAGGGCTGATGTGTTCACACCATAGACTGTGTAGAGTCTTACTAAAATAATGTCTTTGTGTGCACATACAAGATGTAGAAGTAGATATGGACTATACAGTAAATTTACCTTGACTGGCCTCTACTCAACAAAGAAATGAGCATTTCACTTATATTTATTGGAGGGGAGGGGGTGTGGCAATGATGAGGGGGCTGTTAGATAAAGTCTCCATTTAAATGCTTTGTAATTAGCTGCTGCTGCTCGAGGCCCTGCTTGTTTAGCCAGGTCTCAACTTCTCTTAAGACTTAGGCAGCCTTGCTTTTCAAGTACTCCCTTCTCTGTGGGACCATGGAGGCCATCCACTGACCTGTGCACTGCTTGGCCTCTTCCCACGTGTAGCGGGGTACATAGCCAAAATCCTTCTGTGCTTTTCTATAAGAGAAGGTGAATGGAGTGTTCAGTAGAGTGACCAGCTGGCGATTGGTGGAAGGGATGTATCTTACAAAGGGCCGGAGCAAGAAGCTCATAATCTCCAGCAGCAGCGAGAAGTAATATAACATTGTCAGAGGCATTGGGAGCCGGGGCTCAATTCCAAACCCCAGCTCCCTGGTCAGCTCGTAATTTAGATCTGCATAGCTCATATGAGGAGTGTCATCTGAGATGTAGTAGAACTGCCCCCTGATGTGCTTGGCTTTCTGGGGGACTTGCAGGGCTTTGGCTGCCTGCACATGTGCCCAGGCAATGTTTCCCACATACACAGGGTTCACCAAAGCCTCCTTCCTGGAGAAGCGCAGGTAGACATTTTTGTTCAACAGACACTTATCCAGATGACCTTGAAGAAATGGACATCCTTCTCCAAAAATGTACATGGATCTCAGGGCACAAGTCATCAGCATGCCACCATCCTTTAGCATCTGGCCATCTGCCTTCAGAACAGAATCTTCTGCCAGTCTTTTAGTCTGGGCATAAGGAGATTTAGATATACTCTCATAAGCTGTATCTTCATCACCACTGAATATTGGGTCACCTCTGCAGTTTGGGCCTGTCACTTCTATGGTACTGGTATATATGAAGTGCTGGACATTACAACGGACACATACATCCAGCAGTAGCTGAGTACCTTCAAAAGAGAAATAAGCAAGTCAAGCTAGAGCTCCCCAAGCAGGAAAAAGTGGGATTTTTAGATCATAAACAGCATCTCTGGCCTGACCGTGGCCAGATCTCCCCTATCTGCAGCTGGAAGAATCCTGTCCTGAACTGGGCAGCATGTTCAATGAACCCGCTCTGAATCTTTATTTAAGTGGTATCAGTGCACCTGCCAGAGTGAACACTTGGTCTTAATGGCATGTTGTGGAGGTTTTTTTTTGCCAAGAGTCAAATTTTGCTCTTGCTTAAGTTAGCATGGATACTGACCGCAGGCTGGGGGTTTGTGCCTGTTGGTTGGATTTTCTTGGCTTAAGGCAGAGAACCTTCAGAAGCTGCCCCTCTTGTTAGGTACCATCCATCCTGTATGCTGAAGTCCCTGTTTTACAGGCTTGAGGATGCTTTTGAGTGGTTTGCTAAGCCAGGACAGAATTATTTGGGGCCCTGAAGGTTCGCTCCAAAATCAGTTTCACCCCGTGGAAGTCTATCCACTATTCAAATGACTTCAGAGGAGGGCTTGGAGAGAAAGATCTTATGTCGGAACACACAATAGCATGTAGTCAAAGATCACAGAGGAAAGTGCAGTGAGCAAAGTGATGCTTGTGTATGTATATGTCCTTATTTAGCATATTCTGGCTTTTACTTGCAGTAATACAGGATTTCTTACTTTTAAAATCCTATCACAATCCTTTCATTGAGGGGAGCAGAGGTAAACTGGCAAGTTCAAGGTCTTTCAAATAGCCAAGAGGGTTAAGCTAAGAAAGTACATTCAAGGGGGAAATAGGTACTTTAATAAATTGTGTTATTTTAATTGCAACTAGATTCTTTTCTTTTTCTTCTGAGCTTTGAGGCAAAAATTTCCTTATTTGTTGTCCACGGTGTAATGAGAGAGATTATGTGTGAAATGGCCAGTGACTTTGGAACAGAAGATGCAGATCAAAGACATTTGAAAATGTCTTTGGCAAAGGAACATTAACCCAAAATGACTGATATGATATCAGAAGGGTGTGGCCTAAAATGAAACACTAGCAGTGAGGCACATCTATGACCTAACAAGTCTGCTCAGTCTGTCACAACTAAAGGCAGCACAATGCAGAGCAGGCTAGTGGTACTAAAGAGAAAATAACGAAAATAAGAGGTTCAGAGGACCAAGAAATATTGGCAGCAAAATATGGACCAATAATGAGTGAAAATTGGGAAGAATTATTGAACTGAATATTGTTAGGGCACCTTTTTTCAAGCTTGAACAAGAAAAAGAAAGAAGTTGCAACAAACGGAAAATAAATCTGGATGAAGTTTTAAGAAACAAAAAACAAGCGCAAAGAAAAAAAAGGAAAAGGTTACACGCCAGGAATAAATTCACATGACAAGCAAGTTCAAGCAAGTCACTTATGTTTAGGTGACACATAAAACAGGGTGATCTGGAAAAGGAATTAATTAAGAAAATATATTATTCTGAAAATTAATAGTTTAATTCCTGCCATTAATACTGTTTAGAAAGTGAGGGAAAGTAATAAAGTGCAGAAGGGCTAGATAAAATCAAATGAGATAGAAAGTTTTTAAAAAGAAAACATAAAATTATACTGATGGTATCTGTTCAAGATCAATTTCACCCAAATAAAATGTGTTTTACTTGCAAATCAAAACTGTATGTAAAAAATGAAAAGGTTTTTACAGTAATGGGAATTTGAGCATCTTCCACAGAGCATGCAGTAAATTAAATCTTGCATGGAGCAGGTCTCCAAGTTTTGCTTGTACACAAAGCCCTTCTGGCTGAGGACCTGATTCACAGAGGGTACTTCTGTTTGGATTAGATGTAATCATTTTCTTAATACCCTTCTTCCTAAAACTTTGCTTCCCTTCCTAAAGAGATATTTTTGCGTTGAGGCATTGCGTGGCATGTGAGACAGAGGAAAGCCCTGTGTCATGGGAAGTTTAACTTGTTTCCTTCCGTTCTTGTTTGTGAACATCCACATCTGATTCTTTGTCACATTTGTATTATAAAAGTTCTGTTTTCTAGGAGAAACAAAACTTTCCTCCTGCGAATCTATGATGTACGTAGCAGTGTCTTGGTTGGTCAGAAAGCCAGAGGAGCATCAGAATTGAAATGGAGGGAAATAGGGAAGAGGACAGCAGTATTTAGTGACTGACCTTAGAGTCAGCTAATCCTCACTGGCCCAGTGGGCTTCTTTCACCCACAGGCCAAATCTGTTGGGGGGCAATCTGAAAGATTTATGAAAACCCAGATATTTTGTGCTTAAGTCTAAACCTGCTGAAAGGAACAATGGGACAGACATAAATAAACTCTCTAGCCCTGACTCCAGCTCGGAGCTAGAGAGCTTTCTGCTTTTGGGACATTTTAATATTTTGGGGTTTTTTTTGTTGTTTTTTTTTGTTTTTCCTTATGGATTTAGGTAACATATTCTGCTGTGAAAAATGGATTGTAGCAGTAGTATGGTCATAGAGAACTTTACAAATACTCTTTCTGAACTACCAACCCTGTATATTTATTTTTCATATTACCCAGTGCAGAGGTTTACAGGAGCTTGCTTTTCTGCTCTTCCCTCCTGGTCAGGGACCTAAGAAGCTGCCCACTGGGCTCTAATTTGTGGTCACTGACAATTTGTGGCTTTGAGCAGAAATTAAAGGGTCTGGAAGCTGAATGTACAGGCAATGAGCCAGGCTAAAACAAGCAAAAGGCCATCCCACTGTTTTTAAGGTGCATGTGAGGGACAACTCGACTACAGAGAATTCTCTCTTGCTCTGAACACTGGTGAGCAGCCAATATTTGTAAAAGTGGTGCCTGCAGAAGTATGTACATTGTTTGTCCGGGAACAGCCCTATATCTGTGGCAGAGAGGAACAGAGAACCAGGAAAACTATTCACGTAAATAAGGACATCTTCCCCAAATCTTCCCCAAGCACAAAGCCAAGGGAGGTCAGTATGCATGCAGTAACAGTTCTCTGAAAGGCAGAGAAGGTTTTGGAATAACAGGGAGGGGGATGAAGTTGTTCTTTTTGGAAACATATTTAAACTTCCTGGCAGCTGATGCCACACAGGCCATTCCTAAGCCAAAACCTTCCCCCTTCATCTGGTCTTCTCATGAAAAACAGGGGCTCCTTAGTAGAAAGGGATATCCCATCACTGAGTGAGAAGTCACTGAAATCCCTCCTGCCCACAGCCTTGAGTTTGTTGGGAGATTTTTGATTATAAGTTCAAGGTGGGAGAGCACCTGCTCCTCTGAACTGCAATCATGCACACACAGACATAATGGCAAGTAGAAGGAAAAGGAGAAGGGGAGGAAGGAAAAGAATAGGAAGCAGAGAGCCACAGGGTCTTGCATGTGAGCAATGCAAGTTTGCTGTAATTGCAGCCAAAGTCTGCAGTGTTTGTAAAAATCGAAAAAACGTACACAGTACAGGGGGAGGAAGAGTGAGAACCGATTTCTCAGGTGCACATTGGGATTTCAGAGGTTAATTGCTTCCAGAAAGGTCCACTGAGTGTGGGATTATGGCTCTTCCCACTGAAGTCTGTGCAGATCTCAGTATGGGCATGATAAAAGTGAATGATCCTGCAGTGCTCTGCAGTGGAATAGTGGTGCACACTGGCTGTGGAAAGGGCCATAGATGCATAGGGCTGCACACAGGCATGCTTTGCCCTCACAGGTGTGGCTGTGTAAGACACAGAACAACCCAGTTAATCTGGCTCAGAAAAAGAGATCAGGTACTCCCTTTCCTAAGCAGATGATGATCAGGACATAGGACACATGGGTTTGAGAAAGATGATTCACCTGCTCACCTGTTACATTGACTTCCCAGAGCAGCTGCTTCTCTACAAGGCCCAAGGTGTCAATGATGGAAGCTGTGTGGATGACGAGGGAGACACCCTGACAGGCACGGTGCAGGAGCGACACATCACGGATGTCCCCTTCCAGGATTTTCACCTCAGTCTTACCCTGGACCTCTGCAAGGGCAGCAGAAAACAAAGCAAAAGACTTTACAGACATCCTAAGAAGGCCACTGAAATGAGTGGTGATGAAGGGCTTCGTGGATGCTGACACTGTGCCTAGGACCTGTTGACCATCCAGGCACAGGAGTGGTATTTTAAGGCTGACAAAAAACTGCTGAAAGCATTTTCCAATGTCTATATTGTCAAGTGCTAATTAAAGTGCTATAGAAGTCTATGTTGCATTATCTGCTGTATTTTTGGAGCCAATATTCAACATGGTTTGTTCTTCTTTTTTTTTAAAAAAAACCCAGAAATCTTTCCCAGTGCTAGCAAGGGCCTGAAGCTTCCTTCAGGTGTGACTATTTTAAAGTTCAAAGGAGGAGTAGCTTTAGCTATGCGTGTTCTCTGTGGTGGTGCAATTCTTACCGCTCCCTGCCCTCCTTGTTGGGCTGCTTGGTGCCAGGTGTGATTCCATCCACGTTCCCCCAGCCATACACCAGTCTGTGGAGATAAGGACTGATAACCTTGAGGAGCCTGGCTCCTGCCCCTCCCAATTGCTTGGAAAAGGTTAAAATGGCCCATCATCTCCTGATGGCCTGGCACACCTGTGCCTGGGATGTGATCAGATGGAACAAGAACAGGGTTGCATGTTATTCAAATTCTTGTGCAACTGCTGGAAGGCACCAGATAGTATTTGACAAAAGTCAATTATCTTGGACCCTATAAACAGTGACCACCAGAGAGACCCTTAGAGCTCTCTTGGATCGCAGCGGGCTGTGACCAGCATCTCCCCTGAGCTGGGACACCTCTCAAGTGTCGTCTGCTCCAGACAGAAGGCCAGGGCGAAGTCCCCCCGCTCGAGTCTCAATTATCGCCCATTGAGGAATGCCAAGGCATTGGGAGTATTTGCTCTAAACTCAAGAGGGAAATTTTCTTTGAGCTAGCATCTATTCCACCTGTTTATTGGGGGGGGG